TTATATGATGATAATTAACTGCTCCGCACTATTTGAGTAAAGTGGTACTAAACTGATGAATAGATAATTACTAAAATAGCCTGTTTGAATAGAGTTTTGCTTGGTGTATTATAATTAGTATTGTTTAAAAACGAGAGTAAATTAATGAAAAGCCACGTTTACAGAATTCGACAAAGAGACAAACTGTTATGTGTAGTCGATTGATTAATCAACTCGTCGATATGCTTGAAATAATAAAAAATATCCACCTAATGTATTATGAAACTCTATAAAGATTGCTCTATTCACTTTCACCGTAATGAATTAACGAACGCTTCTGTATACTTCGGATACTAACGGACAGATGCAATTTAGAGTACTAAATTTTGCTATGTAGCAGCGAATAATATAAATAACGATGATTGTTGAAAGTATCTTTACAATTGGGATTTTTCACTAATAAATATCGATGGCCTGTACTCTAGAATATCGATTAAATTTACAATTTTAGTTAAATTTCTTCCGTTAAATAAAATCCTTTAAGTGATTGTTAATACCATCGTAAACTTCAATTGCCAAATAATACAATTGTTGGATGAAAAATTTTAATTCATAATAAATATTAATATATTATAAATTCATAATAAGCGCTATATGGAGCATTGAGTATCTCGCCATTAATCTCCACATTAAAATATGTAAGCTGATGTAAATTAAATGTCAATCAAACAAACCATTCCTATAAAATTCTTTCTCCTTTAACATATATATATATATATATATATATATATATATATATAATATTTATGAAAATAGCCTATATTAACCAAATTGATATATTATCATAAAATACAGAAACATATAAAGCATTTATTTAAATACTATAAAAAATTATTTTCAGAAACTAGACTTCCAATTTAATTAGAAAGATTATTTATAAAAAAAATAATGCTTCGCTATAAGCCCAATGACATGCTTAATCAACCGGATTTTGTCAACGCCTCGCTCTATCAATAAAGTGGAAACTTTGCTATCCTTGAAGCGCAATGCCAGTTGAAAATGTCTAAATAACGAAGCCTAGCATCATCCGACGAGTTATATAACGAGAAAAAACAATGAAGAAAAAACGAATCCAATATGATACGAGTTTGTAAAATTATTGTCGGAGTGCCGAGCATAGTTTCTATATTTTTGTAACGCCTAGGAAGGCGAAAGAAAAATCTGACTCTTTAACGAAGCAGGATGTTCTCACTCTATCTATCTATCTATCTCTATATCGGCCTCTCTATCATTCCATCTTTTTTTTTTTTTTTTTTTTTTTTTTTTTTTTTTTTTGACACTATAAAAATGCTCCGGATTTTTTGGTCGAGACACGTCCCTTTATTTATGACGCACCTCGATTCACACGTAAAATTCGTTTTCGGGTACGCGTTGGCACACATAGTTTCCCACCGCTGATGAAACTTAACTTGTCTCCTCGTGATTCCAATTTAGTCCTTAATTATACGATAGCCAAACGCTTATACTATATTTTAGTTATTATTATGAATATTGCCGCTATCGTTCAAGACACTTTCTTATTTTATCGATTTATCGTTGGCAGAAGCGAGCGTAATTATTTTAACATGATTATCCGCGAGCTTTTACGAGACGATATTGCAAGAAAAATAACGATAGATAATGTTTTATATAGCTTAGCTAAAATCTAAAGCATTTAGAAAGATTTTATTATAAAAAAAAAAAAAAAAAGAACCTTTGCAACTAGATATATGCGTGCGTGTGTGCGTGTGTGCGTGCGTGCGCGCGCTTGAGTGTTAGATGTATATATTATTTATAATAAATTTTTTTTTCAAATTAACAAATAGCATTTTATCAATTTAAAATGTATCAACGAAAGACGATAAACCTTTAATTATCCGATAATATATCTCATTCTCCTTTTAAAACAAATGTTTAGATTGATTAAATACTTTTGCCGGTAGGATTTCCATGAAAAGTTACAAGATTAATTTAATTACACAAACGTGCAATATGCAAAAACAATAAAGATCGTCATTTTAGAGACGTATAAAATTAATATGTATTTATAGATTACAAAAAATGTATTCGACAGGGTGAAATATTACCCATAAGCAGAGAATTTCACGATCTTTCCACGCATTTCGTGGCCGACCACTCACTCGCCGACCGAACCACCTGTCGATCCTCTCACGGGGTCAATGGGGTCCGGTAGACAACGGAGGAAGGAAGAAATCGAAAAACAGGAAGAAAGATAAATGGCGCAAGTACATGAGATAGGAAATACTAAATGCAAAGACTCGCCACCAACCAACAATTCCCCAACAATTTGCTAACAATTCACATGGCACACGCACTCCGCGATCCAACTCCAACTCGACATCGCTACAAATAAAATTCTTATGCTGTGAAAAACTTACCCTTCGAGCAGACTCTCAGCCCCTCTATTTTAAACTCCGTCGTTATCTCTCTTCCTCGGGCCAACGCTTTTTGTCCCACTCTCCACTCCTTTTCTCCTTTATTATCTTTGCACTGCCTTTATGTTTACTTTCGTTAGCCGCCGTTCGCACGACCTTTGTTTTAGTTTTAGTTCTCGCGCGCGTATCCTTCCTCGCTCAAAGCTGGACTTAGACTAAACAATTCCCCCCTACCCCCACCCCCGCCCGCAACCCCAATCCCCAATCCCCTCCCCGACCAATCCCTTGCACCGCACTTTCGGTGCGCTTTTCCACGAAGCATCGCCGACCGTACCCTTTCCGTCTCAGAGTGGCGCGTTTACGAAGTTGTCCGACCTCGTCGCAAGTCTTTAAATTAATATTTTCTTCTTGTGAAATCATATATGAAAGCATATTAAAGCATATTAAAGCATATTGCAAGCTTATTAAAATCAAATTTTAAAGGAAGTATTGTACAATTAATTTTTCATCGTCAGCTCCTTTTAAATTGTTGTTCTCCTTCATAAAGCGTAGGCGACAAAAGGCACGGGAAGACGCAATTTACAATCGCTGTCGTCTCGGCCTGTAAATGTTCGCTCATTGGTCTCCTTAATGCCTGCGAAATGCGTAATTCAAATAAAGCGCTACGACTTTAAAAATCGTATAAAATTTTTTTTATTCTAATATTTGCTCCCTTACCTGATAGTAAAATCCGACATTATTACCAAATACTCGCATTTGTTAAAGTATTAACTTGTAATAATAAATGCATTTAATTATTTTACATTTAAATTTATTATATTACATTAATGTATTTGAAAAATAACAAAAAGAAAAACAAAAAACATTTATGTATTACATTGCTGGTGTAACACATCCATATATACAAATGCATTAAGTGTCATTAAACACAAAATTCCATTACACTTGACCTTCGTTATTTTACAAGCAACGCAATTGTATTTATATTTTAAATTTACGTCAAAACTATCTATTTTATACTATCCATCGTGATAATAAAAATAATAAAAATATTGAGTTTATAAAGATTTACCATACGATTAATAAAACAAATTCAATAGTATTTATATACATAATAAGTTACGTATGGCTAAATAAACTTCATCTTGTCGCTAATTGAATAGCGACACAAGCTTCCGATCGATCGGCAACAAAGTTAAGCGATTCGGACTTTCAAACTTTAGGACGTTAAAACTTGAACGAATGACCTCCACTCGGCCTAGCTAAAGTCATAAGGTCTGAAAATACGAGGGCGACCTTTCAGCAGATACGCTTCTACAATGCATCAATTGTTAAAATTTCTTATGTGATTTTATAACGCACAAATGCCGATATAACTATCTACGTTTCTGTCGGATAAATAGAGAGAGAGATAAATAGAAACAAGTTGTCAAAACTAATATAATATTCATTGAATACTCTGTAATGCGAAGAGATTTATTTCTTACATTTTCTAATAACATCTCACGTATTCTACATAAATATTCAGATTTTTCCTTACGATCATGGAAATGATTAAATTACTTGAAATTTCATACAGATAAAAGACAGATAGATTTTACCAAGCTTAGAGCATATATTTCAAATACATTAGTTTTTATTGTAATTCTATTATTCTTAAATTATTTAACGTAATTATAATTATAATCAACTTCGAAATTTTAATTTATTATTTTGATATCAATAAATTGACAATAACGTAAATTATTGCCTCTATAAAGTTGTAATTTTTCCTCGTTATATTTCCTTTTCATAACATTCGAAACTTCTGTTATTTGCATATAATTTGCATTCTAATGTCAAGGTTTAATGAGGCATTTTATAAACTTGACTCAGGATCTATGAAGAAAATATTGCACAGTATTTCCATTCGTGCAGTTCCAGAGTTACTCGTCGCTACACAAATTATTTATTAAGACATAATTATTTGCATTAACGATGTCTTTTGCTTTGATACACCAGTCACGTAGTAAATGTACTTGTGCTAAGCTGTAATCCTTATATCGGTAATTTTTATATTATTATTTTCGGATTCCAAGTTTCGAGCTCGTTAAACCACATCTTTATAGCTGAAAGGATGCTGTGGTGAAATGAATTTTATATGCACAATTAGGTGGCGGGGGAGTCCGATTAATATTTTATCGAAATCAAAAATATATGATGAACTTTTTAAATTCTTTTAAGAATTGAGTAAATAATACGTAATACGATTATCATTCAGATTTTAAATTAGGCTTATTGTATATATTTGCATGCCATATATCATATACCTTTTTATATTTAAAATGTTTATTATTACAATGTTTACAAAAGATATATTTCGCATTAAGCATTGCTAGTTAATATAAAACTACGTTAATGTTATGTAATAGAATATAGCTGAATGCTCCCTACATGAAAATATTTAATAATATGAAAATTATTAGAAATAATGAAAATATTTAATAATAATTCAACAGATTATCGCTAAATTGATAAAAAAAAAAAAAAAAAAACTTGAGCGCTTGCATTTTACATAGGACAGTTTTGAAATTTCCCCGATAGAGGGAGATACTGTTGATTTATTCTCTTCATTTGCGGTAAATGTCTGGTACGTTATGGAAAACGAGGAATTCAATCATTTTTATTAATATATAACTTAATATAAATAATATAATCATGAAAATATATTCTTAAACGTAAAAAGTGATGTTTTGTTTATTGAACTTCGAAGTATTAATACTTTATTTTTATTTTTCATAAGTCGATTATTGTGGATTATAAAGTGGATTACTCGTGTGTTTTTTAACACTTGACAATAAATGAAGCTCTAGCCGTGATATTATTTTGCGTTTAAATTAATATAATATTTCTTGTTTTGTAATTGTTAAGATACTTTTTACGTTTTTGCATATACATATAAAAGCGCAATATTTTGTAAACAAATTTGCCAAAAAAAGTGACCTTTGTCCCTAACCTGTACATATACATAACCTTTACGTTTTACATATTTTATTACAAAAATACATTCAATAAAGAAAATATCATTAAAATAAAGATAAACAAAAAAACTCGCATATTTCATATCATTGAGTTCGATTAAGTAAATAGGCTTTAAGTAATTTTAAGTATATTTTCTAGAAGCCATCATGACCGAGAAAGCTGAAGTTAAAGTTAAAGAGAAGCCAAAATCTTCGAAAAAACCGAAAGAAGAGCCTGCGACAATCGCTCCATTAAAAAAGAGGCCATTCAAAAGGCATGGACGTCTTTATGCTAAAGCAATATTTACTGGCTATAAGAGAGGACTGCGTAATCAACACGAGCATACAGCTCTTCTAAAAATTGAAGGTGCTAGGACAAAAAATGATTCCAATTTTTATGTTGGAAAACGTTGCGTGTATGTGTATAAGGTATGTGCATATTAATGAGTAACAAATGATTTCATTTAAAAAAAAATGTTGTAATGTAATGTAAAAATACCGATTGTAGCTATAATAAATGAATGTAATATCTTAAGAGTAATAACTGCATAGCGGAGTATAATGATACAAGTTTAATCATTAAGTATATAATGCATGTTAATTGTATATATAATTTAATTTTTAGGCCAAAAATAAGACTCCAGTTCCTGGAAAAATTACGAAAAAGACAAAAGTAAGAGCTATTTGGGGCAAAGTCACACGGCCACATGGTACTAGTGGTTCTGTAAGAGCCAAATTTAAGAGAAATTTACCAGCTAAAGCAATGGGTCATCGTATCAGAATTGTAAATATATATACATAAATTATATAAGTAACTATGAGAAAACTAAGTTTTACAGCAATAATAAAATTGAGTATACAACATAAAGAATTATTCAATATTAAATTCACAGAGTACTGAAATATTTTACAATTTTATAAATACAAAATTAGTATTAGAAATTAAGTTTATATATTGAAGAGTAGATATTTACACTATTTGTTTACATTGTCTATATAATTGAATGTAAATGAGCTAAAAGTTAAAATCAAGTTTAGTCGTGTATTCTATTTTGTTTCGATTTTTATTTTCAACATTGGAATACTCGATTGTCAAATAAAAAAATGTTTTAAATATATTTGGATCTGTGTTTAAATAATAAATGTCTTATAATCTTATATTTATTATCTTAAAAAGATATTTATGCATGAATATAAAGTTTTATATAGTTTTTAATAATATTAAGTTAAAAAATTTATAAGATACTAATTTTATAATGATTTATTGTCTTTTACAGATGCTGTACCCTAGCAGAATTTAATTTTATAATGTACAATATTAATAAATAAAAAATAAAAAATACCATATTGGTAGCAGTTGCTGTTTATTTATTAAGCCTGTTGTAGTGACTACAAAACTTTTCTTGATAATATTTCATTATATTATTATATGTTAAATTTTATTAATAAATATTAATGATAATAAGTATATGAAATAACTTTTAGTCAACTTATTTTAATAAAAACTATTGAACATGGCCATATAACCTTATATATAATTTTTAATTTATTTAATAACATGAGTTTTCACAGCCTTTGTTTCTTAAGTTATTTAAATTACATGTGCGCTAAAAAGATAAAATTACCATCTGCGTTTGGCAATCTGCTGACATACGCAAGCCATGCATGTATTTAGATAAAGAAGCCATTTTCATACCGGGCACACCTACACAAACGCATTGTCACAAGCATGAACAGTGTGTATATGTTTCGTACGCAATCAAGGTTTTCTATCATCTGTCCTTGATTAGTTGTGTTGGGAACTCCAATTTTAATATCTTATTTTATTCAATCGATATTCAAAGTTTAATAACGTTTAAGATTATTTACCTTTTTCGATAACATAAGGTAGCGTTGAAGGTCAGAAGTATGGTTATAAGAAGAATATCAAGTGCTAAAGCCTGTGGTTAATAAAATGTTTTCTTGCTTTAGAAATTGTTTTGACAATTTTGGACTTATTACAACTCAACATGAACAAAAAAAAGAGGAAAACTTTATTGCACTAGACACGAATAATATGGGTAATGTTTTTAAGCATTTGTTGTAATAAAAAAAAAAAAAACAATATTCATACAAAGTGCATAAATGATTTTTAATAATTTATTAGTAATGTATAGATCCAATGATGTTAATGATAAACCGTTTATGAATTTTAGGACAAGAAGTTGTTGTAGTAAAAAATTTTGGCAGAGTTTGCGGTCGTGGTGCAGTATTGGGAAATGCTCCATTAGTGCAAAGTAAAAGTTATTTTGAAATAAAAATCCAACAAGAAGGCATCTGGGGAGTAGGTATCGCGACAAGATCTACGGATCTTGATTCAACAATTGGTGGAGCGGATAGTGAAAGCTGGGCTTTAAATTCTGATGGATTTATAAGACATAATCAACAAGAATTACACAAAATTCAAAACTGTGCCCAAGAAGGAGATATTATTGTAAAATAATCTAAATTATAAAAAACTTTGGCTTATCATAGAAAACAATATTCTAACGAGATTATTATTACTTTTTAGGGTATTTCTTTCGATCATGTTGAATTGAATTTTTATCTAAATGGAAAATCGTTGGAAGCACCAGTGATGGGAATTAAAGGAACGACTTATCCCATTCTTTATGGTAAAATCGCGATTAATAATCGCTCATAATTTGGGTAATTTACAATAATTTTTAACGTATTGACTCTTATTACAGTCGACGATGGAGCTATCTTGGACTTTGTTTTGGAAAATTTTACATACAGTCCACCTATGGGATTTGAAAAAATTATGTTGGAACAATCGTTACTTTAGTGAATTTCATGCATTTCTTTCCACAACATTTCTCCCAATCATCCATCCATGTATAGTATAATAATATGATTATTAATCATATTTTTTCACACCTAAAGCATAATCAATACCGAGGGACTAAATCTTCATATTAATTAAAAATGTATTTAAATATTATTTGATGCATGTTATTTTTAAAGTTCCTTTTCCTTTGGTATTGCTGTTGAACAAATTTTTCTAATGATAGTACACAAGCCCAGTGTGTATACGAACTTAATTTTATCTATTGAATTGTAATATAAGAAAACAATGTTAATACAGATTAATGTTTGTCAATATAATACATAACTCTATTTAAAATGTAATTAGAATAATTATTTTCGCCATATGAAAGGATAAAATAATTGAAAGTAAGCGGTTTTAAAATCAAAACACTTGAGAATTCTCAGGATTTATTAAAAGATTTACATAATTGATAGGGTCAGTCTTAGACGAGCTGCCCCGCATTACAATACCTGTATATTTTTTTATTTTTATAATAGTATATTGAAATCTTAAATATAATAAGTATACAATTCATATGTATGTATTCTTTATATCCAGTAATTCAATAATACTTAAATCTACCTGGTATATTATTTACACTCGCTTAAATAAGACATAAAAGGTCTCGTCGACCTTTTAATCGCTTTATTAGGCAGAGGTCATGGCTTCGTTGACATTCAATTGTAATTTTGACTTTCTTATCTTAAACACTCCCTAATGGACAGATAACTAACTATTCTAAACGACTGCAAGACCCTGTTTTAAAACAACAATTCTAATGTTTATAACAAATAATATTCAATAAATGTTAATATTATTTTAAAAAATTGGATTTAAAAATGTATCGTATAGATCTTCAGTCTGCCATTAGTTTTGCCAATACAATTATTTCTTTATTTAAATATAATATTAGGTTTCAGATATCGTATTTCATTTTGTAGCGAATCTTGGATTCACTTATGGCACTGTTATGGTATTTTGAAACCTGTTCAAATCATATGTGCAATATTTTTTTATGTACTTGATCAGTAAATAAAAAGTTGCAGATTATAACGCAAATTAGTAGCACATTTTTTAAATTTTTATTTAATCCTTTTTCACAAAGATTCAATTAATAATTACGAATTTTGTAGAAAAACAATTTTTCAACAAATAAAACATACTGCGATTGCTCTGTCACAAACTTTTAAAAAGCTTACGCAAACATAATGTATCTTTGGTCCTTAAGATAATTAATATCTTCGAAATACAGCAAGATGCCATTGATAAAATAATATATCTACGGTTTACTTTAGTTTAAAATCCATTTTTTAAAACAATATATTATTGTTTAAAAACAAGTAGAGAATTTGATGTTTCTTAAATTAAATTTTTGTCAAAATGGTACTTTTTAAACATGGATTTAAATATGATTAATAGGATTTTAAACTAAAGAAATTTACTAGCCCATTGTACCGAAGATATTAAATTGCTAAAAATTTCAAAGTAACATGATTATATAAATTAACTTACGTCCATGCTAAGATAACTACAACACATGTTAACGTTAATCGCAATTTGTTCGACAACTTAGATTATGAAAATCGCACTTGATAAAAATGTTATTTAAAAAGATAGTATGTTTAAGTTACAATGATGCGTATCCCAATTGCATGAAATAATCACTCTGGTAACTTATAGTCTTATTGCACGTACCAACGTTCATTGTTGAGTATTAATTATTATTCTATATGATAGTATAACTTTCTTATTTTTCTGTATATATAAAACATAGGCTGTTGTGACGAAAAAGAAATTTTTTTTTTTTTAACATTTTTTTTAATAAGATGTTACAAAAGAATTTGTAAAATTTATGTTGTAGTGATAAAGTAATATTTACAAAAAATATTCGCAAAATATTTGTAATCTTATTAAATCATTTACAACATTCATGTAATAAAAAATTATATTACTTTGCCACTGTACATTTTCTCTCAAAAACCTTCCTGTATTTTCTTAAAATTTATCTAAATCAAATAATTGATAAAGTCAATTAAAACTGTAGCAGCTTATTAATTTAAGCCAATGAATATTAAGATGCGTTACTACTTTCAACAATACATAATATGACTCATTGAAAACTTTTGTTATATACAAACTCAATTAATTATGTTTTAACATTTTATGACACAAATGAAATATTACATAATAATTAAGCCTACTGGTAAACGTTAATGTGCACAATTATGTTCACTGTTTTGAGATCTTTGTTTGGCTCTATCGTCAATACATTAATAAAATCGACTGTATTTATAATCCATAGTAATCTTATTACATACGTAAATATATATACGTGTGTGTGGTGTGTGTGTGTGAGCGCGCGCGCGTGTGAATATATATATATATATATATATATATGATTTGAGAATTTGTATTTGTATTGATTTTATTTGTAAAAAAGATTTATATGGGTTAATTAATGATCTAATTAAGTACAAATTTTACATTAAAATTTTAACGTGAAAAAATCAATAGAAATATTGCCTATAAAAACATTCATATGTATATACATTAATATGGGATTATATCGCCGTTTCTTTCTCAAATTATTGGATTAAAATTTTTCTACACGAAAAATATTGTAGCATTTCAATTCAAGATTGTACGCAATTTTTCAACTGGACATTTATACTGTACGAGCAGCGGCGAGGTGGAACAATGAGATGTCCGCTTGTTCCTAAATTCACACGAGATATAATCGTAAACGGATATGAATATAGCTTGGCATGCCGGATATTTATAAATTTAGGACAGTCAAGTTGTTAAGAGATCGCAAAGCATAAATCACGTATTGTTTTGCACTACTTCGAAGGTGATGATAAAATTGCATACCTTAGCCAAATTGTATAAGAATCATTATGATCTCTGACGAATATTTGCCATTAAATAGCAAAACAGAAAATATTACTAACGTACTTTAAAAACGTTAACATATCACAATTTTTCCACTTTTTGAGCTTTCATTAATAACGCATACACTTTAACACTATGAATGAACCCAAATTCTAACTGTACTCCTATTTAAAAATTTTTTTGGTATTTATATCATACGACGTTTTACCTAACTTTTAATTTTTTTTTTTTCTTTTTTTTCTTTTGTTTCTTTTTTATCAATTACATTTAATAGTTAAAAATAAATTAACGGGATTAATAAAATGTAGTAACCTAATATCAATTATTTGCATGCGTATCTGTATAAAAATAGATAAACATAGACGAACAATTACGTTATCATCTAATGATTGATCAATTAACTAAAAATATGCAAAAAATATTTAAAAACCGTGCTTATAAAATGTGATAAAATACAACTAAATTAAAAATTTAGTTAAAAATATTTGATATTCGTTTAAAATTGAACGTATGTGGATATTAAGTGGAAGAACTTTGACGAAATATAGTCTAATAATAAAGATTAATGTAATTTGTATGCGAAATACTTTCTTAAATAATTAGATGCTTTTTTTTTTTTTACATAATAATCGCAAAATAATTTGTCGAAGATTGGGCCTACATTTTATAATTTGTCTTTGGTCTCGACCGTAAAAGCTTCTATATAAGACTTTTGGTGATTTCTACACTGTGCAGTATCGATGAAATTTTTTTGCGTACAATTAATACACATAGATTTAAAATTTTCGGAATAAAGAAAATATCATCAAGAATCGAAAAAATTTCAAAAATGGAAATTAATTCTCTTTTTAAAAAACAATGCCGCGATAAAAAAAAAAATATTTCACAGTACTGCATTTTCAAGTGAACAAGCAAAATTTACAAATTTCAAGTAAATCTTGACGCTTTATAAGAATAAAAAATATGGATATTCCTTTCTTCTTATCAAAGGAGAAACTTTCATTTTGTGCTTATCTGTATACGTCTCATAGAGAGTCTAGTCAATGTCCGTTGTATCTTCGATCACCGAGTCCCAATTAAATTCCGTTACACTTTGCCTCGATGGTAACTCACCAAGATGCTGAAAACGTTGAACAAAATAGGGATCACGATCTCGAAGACGTCGAAACCTTTGAAACGCAAGGTTTGTTGCATATTCATACAGTTCAAGATCTAGCTTATTAAGTCTTCGAATTGCATCCAGTTGCTCCGGAGTAAGAGTTGCCATTGTTGCAGCGCTGAGTGTTGCATTGTGTTGTTCAAACGCAACGGCAAATCTCATTCCGAAAGTTTCTTCAAAAGAATATTGCCCTACCTAATAAACATTATCATACTAGTAAATTAATCATTACATTAATTTTAAATTAATTTATAATTATTTTATATAATTATTAATGAGAAAGTGTCTAATCTATGCATATATTATTTATTATTTTAGCGATAAATTTGTCTATTCGATACTAACAAATACTGTACTTGTCCTTAATCTTAAAATCAACTATTAAATTCAACATCAAATTCAGCATTAATATGGCAGAAAAAAGAATGAAGACTTTTTTTTAAATATTTAATTTGAAAATTATGGTATTCTGATAAAAGGAAAATTATGAATATACACTTATCTGTACGATAGTAAAATTATTAAAACACACTTACTTTTTGATATTCTGTAAGCATAAAAAATGGCATGTATTTCAAATTATGCTTTGCACTTGCTAACATAAGTTGATCACGATCTATACTGCTAAGAGATGAATTGTAACAGCCGACGAGGGAAAGATCTGCTAACATTCGAGTTTGTCGATTACTTGCCAAATTATAAGGGCAGGCCATAAACTAGAATAAAATTGCACATATTATCTAACACGTGTAATTATATATTTTTTGTTTATTATTATTATTAGTAATTGAAAATACATAAATATTAATAAATAATAATATACCTGTTCTAAAGTTACTCCTTTCCAATTAGGACCTGAATAGCACTGAGGTATGTTTGTTGGAGCACCTCCACACCAGTGTCGAGCACCTCTCCAAGTAGCTCCTCTTTGCACATGTCTAAACTCAGATAAATATCTTGCCACGGGATTTCGTATAATTGTTATGTAAAAATATCTCCTCTTAACATTATCTCCTTCAATTTTATTTAATTCAGAATCAACACAACCCGTTAATTCTGTCCAATCGGCGTGTAATCCACATTTCCACCCAGTGGAATATCTTGAAAATAGCCAATTTTCACTTCGATTTGGACGGAAACAAAAGCAACGTTTACGTCGCCTTTGACACGAGCATGGCTTTTGCAAATCAAGATCACGAACCAAATGTTTGCCAAATAAAGTGCCTCCTAAACAAAATCGTCATGTAATATTAATTACAACATAACACAATAAGGGAATACAGCGTACTACGTTCAAGTAATGAAAATAGTCATTAGTCTAGTCAGCCTTATCTTTGCCACAACTTGTGCACGCTAATTTTTCGGTATCAAACGTGTTTACAATTTTGCAATTTTTTATATTAAATTCGTGCTTTGATTAATGGTACTTCGATCAATGCACATGATTAACGAATTTATGAGCTTTTTAATATTTTTCCGGGCATATAATATGCAAAATCTTACTCGCTGAAGCATAACTAACCAACTTGAGAATATGTAATCGAAATAAAAATATTTAAATATATTTTTACACTACTCGACTTATCAAGTCTATACGTTCATTAGTAAACAATCAATCGATTATTATATTGAGCTTAAAAATCAGTATTTTCTCGTAATATTGTAATATTTATAATTGTTCTAAAAAATTCTATTAAAGAAATGCTTTCTGAAAATTGCAGCTAAAGATAGTGAAATTTTAATCCAATATATTACATTTTAGACTTCCATTAACTTTTTATCATTTCTCGTTTTTTTTTCTTTTACTTATATGATATAAATAATATGGATAATATTGAAAAACAATATCGTAAAATAAAATAACGTCATTAAAACATAATGTGATACAAAGTATACAAAATTATAAGGTTTATACAAAATATTTTGTACCAATACCGGTTAGATAATAGTAAAGAATAAAATTACCGTGCTATTATTGAAATGGAAGCAATATTATTATTTTTTTTTTTTTTTTTTTTTCAAGAAATAAATATTGCATATATTCAGAAACGTTGTAAAAATTTATATAAATTTATGAGAAATATTGAAAATAACGATGTCCGACTTTACAAGCATGGCCATTGAAATAAATTTACTTACAAAAACCCAATCTGACAAAAACTGTAATAATAAACAGCGACAATTGCAATATAGATAAAATAAGATAAAATTTGGTTAATAAATTTAATTAATAAATTTTTTCATACCAGTCTTTTGAATATGTAAGAAAACCATCACATCGTGTGCATTGATATCAAACTGAAAGGTGTCATTTAGAAAAATGTCATCGTAACCAAGACTTCCTTGAATGCTCTGTAGCTTAAATGCAGGATGTACTGGAAAAAAATTGTTCCTTTCTACTTCAAACAAATTAGATCCGAGGCCTAAGGCATTACCTAAACACAAAAAAGACACATATTCATGATTACAAAGTAAAAAGCTAGAGTATTAAAATTGTAATTACACTTATCGCAAAACAAAAAGAAAATAACCACATTTATTATGCTAAAGTTCATTATGATTTTTTCCTTTAAAGTATATAGCTTATTATCTACATAATAAGTTTTCTACATACAATAACATCTTGAAATACCTCTAATTATGTTCTCAAGACTTATAATAAAAATAAACATAAGAGAAATATAATAATCATGAATATGCATCAAGTCTTGTTTATATTGTAGGGCTTAGGTTTGGAAAAAGGAAACGAAATTTTCAATGTAATGCAACAATTATTATAAGTTTTTCCTATATTACCTTAATAAAAAGCATTAAAATTAATTGAAAAGACAAAAAAGTGGATCGGCGAGGGTATGCGAGGGAGAATAAAGCGAATGATTGAGTGGATCGGGCGAGAGGGAGGAAAGGAGGGAGTGCGAGAGAGAGAGAGAGAGAGAGAGAGAGCGCTTACGAACACAGAGGTAGATAGATAAACAGATCTATATATCTATATATCGATATATATATATTACGTATGTGTACGCATGTGTGCGCGCGTATGTGCGTCAGTAGAGATGGAGAGAGAGAGAGAGAGAGAGAGAGAGAGAGAGATCTTACTCGACAAAAGAGACTCGGAGAATCTCGTGGACTCCTTGGAGTCTCGAGTGCTCAGGGCACAGACGTGATCGGGGCAAAAATAGCCGAGGTAGAGCATCCCAGCCAAGGCGAGTAGCAGGCAAATACCGACGATGTTCCTCAGGCTGGAGCGCCTGGCCGACCTCGAGTCCGTCATCGCGCAACTCGGCGACGGCACGTCCGGTGCTAGCAGCGGCGCCAGGTCACTGTGACTCGTCCTCGCAGCGGCCCTCGTCGTCCCGTCCTTCTCCGGCACTCGCTTGCTCATCATTCCCCATGCTCTCCCCTTTTAACGCTACTCTCGCACCCTCCGGGCTCTCTACGCTCGGCATCGAGCCGCCTCAGTGGCCACCCCCGTAGCCCAGGAGCCCGCCGACGGCGACGAGGTAGGGCACCCTCTTACCCACCACAGCCATCGAGCTGCGCTCACCCGGACGCGCGCTCGCGTCTCTGACCTGCTGCGTGCGCTCTCTCTCTCGCGCGCGGATAACGAGCGCGTCGCTCGTTGGCCCGGAGCGCGGTTGGGGGACGAGGGAATCGAGAGTCGAGCTCGCGACCGTCGTGCGCGGCCTGGACTCGAGGACTGCGGCGGGGCCGAGCCAAGCCGACGAGTAGTGCGACGAGCGACGAGGACGCTGTGGCTCGGCGGCTCGGTGGGGGCGACGGGACACAGAGAAAAGCAGTCGCGCGCGCACCAGCCAACCCGAGATATACCATTCCCACTCTCCGGTCCCCCGCCGCACTCCACGACCCTATCCCCGCCACCGTCCTCGCCGACCCTTGCACGCTCGCATTTTTGCACGGCAAGTTGCAGTGGCGGCGACCCTTCTTCGTCCTTCCCGCGACAACAGCGGCATCCTACTCTGTCCTACACTTGCCATTTCAATGTACGATAAGCGCTATCGTCCACTATTGGCAGCACTCAGTCAGTCACTCGCATTTCCGTATTTAGCTTATTATTCAATTGTGTCCCTTTCGATAATTCAGCAGCTATCTACGGGTAGGGGGAGGAGCGAGGGTGGCGGAGGAGATGGAGAAGGTGATGGAGGAGGAGGTGGAGGAGGAACGGAGGGTAGAGAAAGGGAGAGTAGGGTCTTTCGTTTGCCACTGCATTGTGCGCGCTAATGCAAAACAGCCGTTTGTTGCTTGTTACTTTAAAAGCGATTTTTCCCTTTTCTTTATCTTTTACTTCCTTCCTTCCTCCTTCCTCCTTCCTCCTTCCTCCTTCCTCCTTCCTCTTTCCTCTTTCCTCTATCCCGCCCTGCCGTCCTGCCGTCCTTCCCTCACTACTCGTTCCTCCTTTATTCTTCAATTTCCCGACTTCTTCATACTCGATCGTGACAAAATTGCAATCGAGCCGATTTCGCTTTGCCAGCCCGCAAAAACTTTTTTTATTCTTTTATTATTGACTTTTATTATTATTTAATAGTCAGCAGTAAACGACGAGCCTTATTATCATATCTACTCGTAGGTACTCGTATTCAATTGAGTACTGGAGTCGGCCGGTTATGGGAGTACTTTATTTTTTTTTTTTCATGTCCCAGCGGCACACTTTGTGCATAACTATTATTGATCCTATTGTAATTCGACATGTGCAAGTTGAAAACTGTAATAGGACGAATCGAATGTAATAGAGAGAATTGACAGCATCTCATTGAATGCGAAACAACGAAATGCAATTGCGCGTAAATGCAAGGCGCAACCTCGTCTCATATTCTTAAGCATAATCTTCGGTGACGAATCATCGGATGACAATGTTGAAGCGCAATTATATATAGGTACGGTGTACAGCGTGAAAGGGGCGCCGACGAATGCGCGTGCGATGCTCTTGCTTTCTCTGACGTCGACGAGCCTGTACTTTTGCTCTCTCCCTCTGGCAACTACTTTACTTATTGAGTATAGTGCCTGCCGTTGTTATGTTTGAAGTGTGCGCACTTATATATTCAGTCCTCCTCGCGCGCGCATTCGCGCACACACGCGCACCTCTGTATTTATACGCATAAACATATATATATATATATATATATATATATAAACACGTGACTTTTTTAACGCGCGGCCCCACGATTCTCTTGAAATTGCGGCAAAGAGGAGAGGCGGACCGCGAAAACAGAAATTCGTAGGCCATAACGCGTCTGGCCGCGAATACGACGATATCGAACGATTCGACGATGAAACGAAAGCGTTCGAAGCTTTCGGGAAAAGGAAAAGTTTGTTGTCGAAGGCGAGGAGGGAGGAGTTGAAAGTTGAAACTCCGACTGACCGAAGACTTGCCGGCACATTGCTCCAACGTGTATTGGCAGGAAAAAGGAAACGAAAACGTGGAAACCAGACGTCGGATGTTTATGGTGCAGCTGATTTCTCAAATAGCAACCTCCTCGCCTCGTCCCCTGACCTCAAAAAATCGTTATTCCATTTCCAAAATTGCATCGTTGGCGTACGTTTTAGAGTTTTAAAAGCGAACGGTCAAGTCGACATTGCACGAAATCACAATTACCTTGTCAACTTTTATTATTGGAAACGATGCGTTCGATACTTGAAAATATTCGAATTAATATCGTTATGCCTACAATAATACTCTTTACATGCGCTACATTTCAATTAATGCTAATGGCTTGTTTTTTTTTTTGTTTTTTTTTTCTTTTTTTGTATTTTAATACGCTGAAGCTGTGTAATCATTCGTAAATTGCATCATATAACAAGAATAAATAAAATACTTTATCTCGTTTAAAAATGCCTTCATTATAATAATTTATTGCATACACTTACTTAGTGGATGGAAAATTACCAGTACCATAAATTTTCAAAGTAACGAGCGTAAATGAAAAAGCTTCAAAAAATAGATCGTTAAGCTCGAATTTATAGCTATTTATGATAAATCAATTTACATTTATGAGATTATGGCACGACGTATAAAACATATGTTTCGAAAATTTATTTGCATTATAATGCTTAATTGCTTCCCGAGTCGTCTGATATGAACATTAAAAATGAAATGGTATATTCCTCAAATGTTCATGAAACTTTTAGGCAAAAGTCTAAAGACTAAAATTAAAATGCTTTATTCCTTCATTCCTCGGAGAATCATAATGATATAAATAACACTATGAAAATGGACAAGTTATGAATGAACTCTTAAACGGCCAACAGAGTGTCGCGATTATTAATATTAAAGATTAATGATTAAATAGATAGTGTTGAAAGGTGTATTAGAATTTTATTTTAAAATTTTTCTCTCGTTTCTCCATAATTCCTTCGCTTACAAATTTGTGGATCAAACATCATATTCGAGAGAATTATAAAAAGTGCAAACTCACGACTGCATTTAAAGAAAAGTAGGTTATATAATTTACATAATAGTACATTCGTATATCTTAGCCTTTATAAATCATTATCATTATGACGATTGGGAAAATGCTTGAAACATAAAACATTTTTGAAAAAAAAAAAAAAAAAAAAAAAAAAAAAAAAAAATCTACATATCGCAAAACGAAAACCTTACGACAGAATACGAGCCATAATTATTATTTATTCAATTATAATTGGCCTCTAGGCGATTGTTGTTTTTTCTTATTTAATGAGAATAATCCCAAGTACTATTCAAAGATAATATCAATTAATCTATTAATCTGCCTGTAAATTTGAGATTTCTCATATATATTTAATGTAAAAATTTTAACATCGTGCCGCATTATTGAATTAACAATGAAAATTGTTTAGCACACGACTAGTTAGCCTAAATATGCAGCAAAATCCTTTTCTTAAGATAATACGCTTTCGCCGAGATAAGACACAATGAGACAATGAGAATCGGGACTGCTGAGGTAGTGCCGGATCTTCTTGGAAAATAGTCCATTTTTTCTACAACGTAATGTGTAACTTGAGAGCTTTGTAAGGGACGGATATAAGGGATAAAAGCCGTGATCAGCCTGACTATGGTCGGCGGATATAATTAAATGTCAGTGATTTTAAAAGGAAGTACTGTTTAATTTCACTTTAATAAGCAGACGTAAGTTGTAAAAAGTTGTATTTATTTATCCATGATTCCCCTCCGTGAGTCCAAATCCGTGTATTTCGTTACGATGTCTGATGGAGTGAAAATATTGAAAATATATATTCTTCTAATTATACTTGCTTACTTCACTCCACTTCGTTCAAAACAAAAAAAAATTCCAATATTATAAAACCAACCAGCGGTATTGTTTATACTGTTTATAAGTAATCGTAAACAAAATTGCGATATAAAGGAAAATACCATACATCGGCAATATCATTATTAATAATGATAAGTTTTGTAGATAAACTTTAATTTTTAATCTATCAATTATTTCTTATAAATGTATGAAATCCTACAATTTGCAGTTTTTCAATCGAATCGTGGCTGTGGCAATTATTATTTTAGTCATTCAAATACTTCAAGTTTCCAATTATGTATTCATGCCTGATCGAAAAAGTTATCGAAGCTACGTTTAATCTTACTTAAAACTACAATAATCAAATTAAGCACCGCGAAAGGATAATATTTCATATAATAACAAAGTTCATTAGTATATCGTTAATTAATGCTTACCGATACAATTATTATTATTAATAATTACGAGGACGATAACCATACTATTAATAATAAATGTAATGACTCGCAAGAATAATAATTTAAAGCACATTTACAGTACAACAATTTTCAGAAACACGAACCTTAAAAATCCATTATATTAGATATATAAATTTTTATCGAATTTTCATTTACCGCCCACATTCTATGTGTGCTGTACAACAATGTCTAGGAACTGGTTGTACCTGGTAAATACGTGATATCCTAAGTTTGATCAGAATTAAAATTATCAACTGAGCGTAGGTAGGTGGGTGCGCGCATCCGTGTGCGTGGATTCGAGCGCGCGATGTGCGTGTGTGCGTCATATTACTTTATATTCGGCTTACTTCACGCGTGTTACGCCATGTTAGCTGTCAAACTACCCAGTATAATGTATCGTTTGACTATTTTTTGTTAATATTTATTGAGTTTGAGTGGTTGTGTGTGTGTGTGTGTGTGCGCGCGTGCGTGTTTGTACATATATATTTTATGCATATTATTTATACTTATATATATATTTAAAGTTATAAATGTATATAAAAGTTATTTATTATCTTAAGATCTATTGAAATTAAATAATTCCTAAAGAGGAAGAGGGGTAATTATAGTTTAAGGAATCTTGTAAAAGAAGTATCCAAAAGAGATATCAATGATGAGGTGAGTGGTTCAATTTAATCACCGTTCCTAATTTAATTAATTTTCTAATTCTTAAGAAATTCATTACAAGACTATTAGAGATCTGAAAATTGCTTTCTCCTGTATTACATAACCTAAAATTATAGTCAATTACAAATCATTGATATATGAAATTTATTTCGTAGTTCATTGGTTGAAGATGTTTTAGAAGCTAGAATTGCTGAAATAGAAAAAAAGATATTTGGTTTGAATAGAGAACCGAATGCAGATGATAAATTGCCTGAAAATAATATTATCGATAGTCTTTTACACGCAAATACATTAATAACATCTGCGCTATCTGGTCGAGACAAATTTAATACACTGATCCAGAAATTGCCAGAAATAGAAGGATATGCGGAATCTGATTATGAACAAATTGATTTACAAAACGATGCTAAACTTGAGTATATTTTAGCCATGGAACCGGAAATCAGAGAAAGTGCAAAATATTTAAATCAATTGAAGGAACTATTACCAGTATTAGATAGCGATCGTTTTAATAATATACCCGACATGTCAGAAAAGCTACAGAACTTAACATTAAGCTACAGCAAATTGAGCGACCAGACAGAATCGCAAAACGAAGCAACAAGAGGCTTAGTTTCTAAATACAATGAAATACTTACAAACATGTCGATATTATTAATACAATTGGATGCCGAAGTAACTAAATTGGAAAAAATTAACGAATCTCAAATAAACAGTGGATCGAATAATTAAATTAATTAAATTTTTTGTAAGAATAATAATATATTTAAACAATATCATTTTAATTAAATGCTTTTCACTTATGAGTAATTACATGTTTTATTATTCTTATGCCATAAACACTTATACTCGTATTAATGACTATACACTTGTAATATTTCGTATATTTCAATATAATAACTTTGATAACAATTTATTTTATTATAATACTAATGTATTATATACATTTGCCCTATTAATACTTTGCTCTCTATTAGTTAGAGAGACAGCACGGAGAATACATTTTATTCATTATAACAATGCTTATTCATCTTCTCATCGTATAAACTTATTTTACATAATCTTCTCAAGTCTAAAATGTATATCTATGCCGGGGGTGGGGGGGGGGGGGGGGGGGGGGGGGGGGGGGGGGGGAGAGAAAGAAAAGATAAAAAAAAAAAAAAGAAAAAAAAAACCAATACATAACATACGTATTCAATTTTTAAGTCTATTTGTTTTTATACATTATTTACATCAGTTTGCCGAAGCACAAAAGTATGTGCCTCTAGTGTGCCTTCGATGAATTATTTATACATAATTTTGAATGCAAAATTTAACGCGCTTAACGTTAAACTTCGCTTATTAATTTTGTTCCATCTATTATCCTAACATTAATCGCGAAATCTTGTATTTTGGCACTTGTGAATTTAAATATCTTGCGCTTGATGAAACGGGATAAAAAGCCACCAAATCCGGCAAAATAACAATATTGTCCATTGGCCAGACTTTTATAAAGTGCACTGAGCGCTCTTCACCCTCAAACTAAGCAAATTGAAATTGCTGGCTTTTTACAAATATTAAAGCATTATTAACGATAATTTAAGTATGCGTGTGTAAAGCTGGCACGGTGTTTCTTAGCCAAGAGAGTGCTGGTGCTAGGCTTGAATATATTGCAGGATGACCTCTTGAGCATCTGCTGTGATGACTGAGCAAACCTTGAATTTCCCATCTGCCAGTTTCGCTGACACACATTAGCGGTGCCCCTTCGTCATTCTAAAAATGCATATAATTTTACAATCTCTTTATACTAGATCTAGGCCCATTCACTCGAGGGATAATATTAATAATTACATAACAAGGTCCTTTATCCGTGTCGGTAAAACCAGCGCAAATATTAAACTTGGTTATAAAGCCCGCGTAATGACTCGTTGCGTTACACTCTTCCGAATCATAAGTTGGCACGGGCAAAAATTTCAAATACTGTTGCAAATCGACTTCTCCATTAACGGGAAATCCCCAGCCAGCCGTAACACACAATTGTCGAGGCTAAAAATAGATGATTATTCATATAATAATAACAACGGCAACGACGACGACGACGATAACAATAACAACAACAACAACAACAACAACAACAACAACAACAACAACAGCAACAACTATAAAATTCTATAGGATATAAATTTGACGATTTTTACGGTCGTTTAAATGATAAATTGAAGGATGATTTACTTGGAACGATTGACTCGGGAGGCAGACGGCGCTAACGTTTCTTGAGAATGTCAATGGCTCCGACAGCTCAACGAGTGCAATGTCGTTATTGTATAAAAACTGATTGTACTTCACTTGAGGATAGGGAACGATAGTCTTCACTCTATACGATTTCAAAAGATTTCCACCAACGAAAAGTTGCCATCCATTGCTTTGCCTATAACTACATCAACAATACATCATTCATGTACTTTGAAATGAAGAGAGAAAAAAAAAACATGTCATTTCATATGAAATATAAATCACAAACATAACGATATATTGGTTTTTTCATATATTAATACGCGCTGGGGAACGAATAAGCAATTTAAATGTAAATTACATATAATAATACAATAATAAAAATTATTATAATAATACCTGTGAATGCACGAATAGCTCGCCAAAGCGTACATGGGACTAAGTACACTCGCTGTACACGCAGCCCCGTGTTTTGGCTCCTTTAAAAGAGCAACGCTCGACCATTGTCCTTCGCTCGCGCGAGTACCTCCGACTAATCGAGCGGTAGGACCGACGCTCTCGTGAGAACCGCATGAAAATTCTTGACAAGAAACTTCGACGATTTTTCCAGACTCGCAAGTCGTTCGTTTGACCAAATTGACAACGAGCGACGAATTTGGACTCGCATTGGACAATAGCCGAAGTAAATTTTCATTCGCTCCTTGATCTATGAATTGAGTCGACTCCGATGAGGCGAATCCCAAGGATCTACAATATTGATCGCTAAATTCCTCTGTCCATCCGTCGGAGCATATGTATCTAAAGTTGCCGCTCGATTGCCTGAAATTAATGAAACACGACAATAACAAGAACAATTGGGACAATTTTCATGCGCAATCGTCCAATCCGGCTGAACGGCAAAAGATAAATAATAATGCACACAAACCTAATCTTCAAGAGGCTACTGTGTGTTGAAAATTCATTGTCCTTGCCTTCTTTATCCGCCTCAATACCGACTGATGAATTTTTATTGAAACCGCTCAAGCAATTCCACTCGTCCGATCTATCTGGACAGTTTTCAACTCCATCGCACAATTGTTCTGCAGGAATACATCCCCCGGTTTCGCACTTGAACCGATCGAGAGCGCATTCGCACAGTTTTTCATCCTCCCCGTTAACGCACTCGGCAACTCCATTGCAATGCCACGTCTGTGGTATGCACCATTTCTCAAGTGGACAAAGATATTCGTCGTTGCCGCAACTTTCGGAGCACGAATACTCGTCGACGTGATTCTCACAGTCCGGGCGGCCGTCGCACTGCCAAAGCACTGGGATGCATCTTCCTGCAATACGATAAACGCTCGATTAACAAAAAGACCATTAAACTATATGTCAAAGGCTAACTCGGATACCTAAGCCCCGTGCAAACATTACCATTCGGGCATTGGAATTCGTCGAAATTACATTTCCATTGTCCACACTCCTTCTCGTCGCTACCATCGTCACAGTCCACAATACCATTGCAAACGAGATGACGTTTTAAGCATTGGCCACTAGCACATTGGAAGTTTCTCGGGCAGCCTTTCTCTTCGCAATTAACTTCATCCGATCCATCCGAGCAATCGTTCTCTGAATCGCACGTCGCCGAGAGATTGACGCAGTATGCTCCATCCCTCGACGTCCCATTAAAGCATTGAAATTGGCCACTTTTACATTTAGAAAAGAATGGCCGAGAATTCATATGCTGCTCGGTTAAAGCGACAACTGGGATTTCGTTCTTATTCGTTGGCGATTGTTCGCTGTGATTATTTACATTTGAATTACTCGACTCGCCTCTCCCATTCTCCTCCGAGTATTTAAGCTTCGAATCATTTGTTGTTGTATCGTCGATTAATGTCGAATTAGCAATACTCGCTTCTAAAACACCATGTAACAATAATGTGGTCGAGCTGTTAAATTCAGTTTCGTCCTCTGTATTGTAATCCTTTCTCGGATGAAAATTGTACTCTGGTAGATCTGTCGTAACGATTTGCTGATTATTTAAAAAGAAATTAAGAGATGACTCGGTAACGTTATTGTCATTCTCCTCTACAATTTCCGAAACGGGAATGAAACTAGGATATTTCGTCGTCGTCTTACTATTATTATTACTATTATTATCATTATCATTATCATTATCATTATTATTATTAAGCTCGGTTTGATTTTTCACATTAATATGATTACTGCCGTTATTCGCGTATTGATTGTTCATAACATTTAACGCGTCTCTTAAATTTATGTTCAAATCCGTTGTTCCGGCTGTCATTAATTTTGGAATGCCGTTGTCTTCAACGATTCTACTATTTTTAGTGCTTGCAACTATTGCAAATTCGCCGGGCCTGAGAATATTTACTGGCACGTTTGTAAATTTTTCAGCCGATGTTTCGAAATTTAATTCCTTTTCTTTTTTCACTTTTGTTTGCTGATCGTCAGTTTTCAATACTTTTTTAAACTCGCTTCTTTCCTCCAATGGAACAACGCGAAGTTGCTCTTCGTCTAACTCTTCGAATTTGTCTGGCAGCTTTAATTTTTCAGTTGTCGTAAGGAATTTATAGTTTATCAATTGGGGTACGGTGTCATCTAGAATAGTTTCCGAAACCGGTTTGATATCACTATCCATTACCGATTGACCTTCCTTCAAACCACTCAACGTAAATTTATCGGTAGCTTCTTCGACTACATTGTCATACGATGTTGATTCAAAATTAATATTACGTTCGTCGCTTATATTAGTCGCTTGTAGGACATTCACGTCACTTAATTTAGTAAATTTCAATGTCCTATTGGACTTTAAAGGACTTTTACTATCAGGAGCATCATTCCCATCGACCGTCCATGGCTCGTCAATTCTCTTATCTATTTGAAAAGCCAACGTCGACTCTGTGTGTTGCTCTTGCTTATTATTATTATTATCCGTTGTTACTAATTCCTCGGGTAATATTGGAATTTGTTCCGTCGTCTTACCATCTGCGTGAAATAGTTTTGGCAAATTAGTCGTTAAAGCCATTTCTTTCTCAGACTCTTGAGACGTTGATTGAGTGTCAATTTTTTCAACACTTTCGGTCGTCGACATATCGTTTTGAATTTCTATGGGTAAAATCGGTACTTGCGATGTCATATTTGGATCTTCCAAGTGTTTATCGGACCCACTATCGTTTATCAATAATATACTGGGGTTAGAGAATGATTTATTGGCCGCAACTTTTGCATTATAGTCAATATTACTTTCTTTGTAAGCCTTTTGGATTTTCTTCCCATCTTTTTTAATATCTTGCGATGAGTATAAGTCATTTTTTCCAAATCCCTTTGGTACAGATTCGTCTGTAATATCATTGTACTGATCTTCCGTAATTTCTTCATTTTTTTTAATCGCGACTAACACATTTTTATCATTTTCACTTACGTTAATTGTTGGATAATTCATTTGTTTAATATCGTCATTTAGATTGGCGTCTGTGAATACACTTTCATTGCTAAATGAACCGTTGATGCTCTTTGCCGATGTATTTGAAGTAAAATAATTATTCGTTTCTTTAATTGCACTCGCTGGATATTCCAAGGTTGTAGTTGTTTCGATCATTTTATTATTTCCGCTTGACGTAACGACATCCCTAACGTTTAATTCAAATGGATTTGGATTATTCTGTTCATCTTTATCAAGACGAGGAGCATTTGTAATATAGTCATTTCCTAATTTTACATCGGATTTTAAATCCTTGGAAGAATATTTCTCTAATGGCGTTTCTGTTGCTGTATGCTTTTCAATGTACGATTCACGAAACAATTTTTGTTCGTATTTTTGCTCTTCATCGAGTCCTATGACCGTAGCTGGCTCGCCTGGCGGTGTTGTTGAAACGTCAAAATCCTCTTTAGAATCTGTAGTTGAAGCACTTTCGACACGACTATTAATATGCGATCCGAAATTTCTATTCACAGAAGATTCCTGTGAAAGCGATTTTACTGTTGAATCTGGGTTATCGCGTAAGTCTTTCACCCATTGAGAATCAGTATTGGATTCAATTTCTACTGTTGTCATAATGTCAGATTCAGTGGACGTTTCATTTATAGATTCCGTAGAAAACTCCAGTTCAGTCCTGCTTTCAATGAGAGATTCTGGTTCTAATGTTGTAGCTTTAGACAGTTCTGCATTATTATTTATTTCATAAAGAGAAATTGATTCGGTTATTGGATTATTGAATTTGATTATATCATTCGTTGTATTAAACTTTGATGTTGATGTAAGTTCAATTAATGGATGCGTCGTATACACAGATTCCATGATTTCTTTATTATGCGATTCTAATTTTGAGTTTGACTTAACGTCTAATTTAGGCTCATTTTCAGATTTTTCAATAGATTTTACTTCGTTTTTAGATTTTTTCGAGTCATCAGATCTCGTTATCAGGTCTTCGGTAAGCTCAGATTTTACATTTGCTTCTGTCGGTGGCTTTATTTCAGAGGTAAAATTAAGAAGCAATTGGTCTTGAATTTGAGATTCCGTAGATGTTTGAGCATCGATTTTAGAATCATGTAAGAACTGAGATTGTTCTTTAGTCTCAACGGGTAATTGAGATTTTGATTTAATAATGTCTTCGATATTAGATTCTGTAAATGATTGAAGTCCGTTATTAAGCTCCGCTGATGATTCTGCTTCATCTGTATGGTCAGCTGATTCAGACTCAATTGTGGACTCGGTAGTCGATTCTGATTCAATTTTTATTTCGGCTGTTGATTTTTGTTCATTTCTCGGCTTATTGATTAATTCGTGTTTATCCTTGGGCTCGGCAAGTACTTCTGGTTCACTATTCGGCTCAGCTGTTGGCTCCGGTTCGCTTTTCGGCTCGGCTGCTGGTTCCGGTTCACTTTTCGGCTCCGTCGTTGGTTCCGGTTCGCTTTTCGGCTCGGCTGCTGGTTCCGGTTCACTTTTCGGCTCCGTCGTTGGTTCCGGTTCGCTTTTCGGCTCGGCTGCTGGTTCCGGTTCACTTTTCGGCTCCGTCGTTGGTTCCGGTTCGCTTTTCGGCTCGGCTGCTGGTTCCGGTTCACTTTTCGGCTCCGTCGTTGGTTCCGGTTCGCTTTTCGGCTCGGCTGCTGGTTCCGGTTCACTTTTCGGCTCCGTCGTTGGTTCCGGTTCGCTTTTCGGCTCGGCTGCTGGTTCCGGTTCACTTTTCGGCTCCGTCGTTGGTTCCGGTTCGCTTTTCGGCTCGGCTGCTGGTTCCGGTTCACTTTTCGGCTCCGTCGTTGGTTCCGGTTCGCTTTTCGGCGCTTTTCGGCTCAGCTGCTGGTTCCGGTTCGCTTTTCGGCTCGGCTGATGGTTCTGGTTCACTTTTCGGTTGAGCTACTGGATCTGTTTCACTTTTTGACTCGGCTACTGGTTCCGGTTCACTTCTCGGCTCCGTTGTTGGTTCTGGTTCGCTTTTCGGCTCGGCTGATGGTTCTGGTTCACTTTTCGGCTCGGCTGATGGTTCTGGTTCACTTTTCGGCTCGGCTGATGGTTCTGGTTCACTTTTCGGCTCGGCTGATGGTTCTGGTTCACTTTTCGGCTCGGCTGATGGTTCTGGTTCACTTTTCGGCTCGGCTGATGGTTCTGGTTCACTTTTCGGCTCAGCTGCTGGTTCTGGTTCACTTTTTGGCTGGACTGTTGATTCCGGTTCAATTTTTGACTCAGCTATCGGTTCTGGTTCACTTTTTGGCTCGACTGTTGGCTCTGGTTCAATTTTCGGCTCAGCTACTGATTCTGATTCGCTTTTGGGTTCAGAAACTGGTTCCGGTTCGCTTTTCGGCTCGGCTGATGGTTCTGGTTCACTTTTCGGCTCAGCTGTTGGATCTGTTTCACTTTTTGGCTCGGCTACTGGTTCCGGTTCGCTTTTCGGCTCGGCTGATGGTTCCGGTTCACTTTTCGGCTCGGCTGATGGTTCTGGTTCACTTTTTGGTTCAGCAACGGGAGTTAGTTCACTTTTCGGCTCAGCTGCTGGTTCTGGTTCACTTTTTGGTTCAGCAACGGGAGTTGGCTCACTTTTCGGCTCAGCTGCTTGTTCCGGTTCGCTTTTCGGCTCAGCTGCTGGTTCCGGTTCGCTTTTCGGCTCGGCTGATGGTTCTGGTTCACTTTTCGGCTCAGCTGTTGGATCTGTTTCACTTTTTGACTCGGCTACTGGTTCCGGTTCACTTCTCGGCTCCGTTGTTGGTTCTGGTTCGCTTTTCGGCTCGGCTGATGGTTCTGGTTCACTTTTCGGTTGAGCTACTGGTCACTTTTTGGTTCAGCAACGGGAGTTAGTTCACTTTTCGGCTCAGCTGCTGGTTCTGGTTCACTTTTTGGTTCAGCAACGGGAGTTGGCTCACTTTTCGGCTCAGCTGCTGGTTCCGGTTCGCTTTTCGGCTCAGCTGTTGGCTCTGGTTCACTTTTCGGCTCGGTTGTTGGTTCTGGTTCACTATTCGGCTCAGCAGATGATTCTAGTTCGCTTTTCAGTTCAGTATCTACTATCGGTTCAATGCTTGTTATTTTTGACTTCAATTTACTTTTCGGATTAAACGATGCTTGTGGTTTGTTTTTCGATTCGAGTACGGGTTCGTGTTTGTTGTATAAATCGTAATGTGAATCATGCCAATTGTCATCTGCACGATATGCATCGTCCGGTAGTCTACTTCTTCCTTGAATATCGTCCGGTATCGTTTCTTCAAAATTGATATTACTTAGATCATTATCATTAACACACTGTTTGCTACTTTTATCGAAGAACTTGCCGGCAGAGCATATACAGGTAAATTGTCCTTCTACATAATCATACACACACATATCACTGCACCCCATATTTCCAGAATAGCATTGATCAATAAGAGAATCGATTTTTAATCGATTCACGTGATATTTACCAACTGCACTACCATTCTGTCGAAATTTATTTTCCAAGTAATTTTCGTTATCTTCGGCCTTCTCGAAAACAGGCTGACCTATACGAAATTTGATCTCACCTTCTTTCGAGACCGAATAAATTTTTATTAATGGGATGCCATTATTCAAGCGTAATAATTCCGCTAGATTACTCTCAATGTCTTTAACAAGGTTTCGATATACTCTCGATTTTGGATTATACATGTCGTCATTCCACGGTAAATCGTCCAATTTAATAAGGCCGTCTAATGCCTTAGGAACAAATTTGTAAATTGTTTCGTCCGTTGTTTGCCATTGTGGATACGTAGATGTAGCAGGTGACGGGCTAGAAGGGGGATTTTTAATATATTCTTGACTTCCTGCCGCCTGCACATCGTTGAACTGTCGATAACTCGTTTTATCCCCGTTAAGAAGTGGCTGTGTAGCTTCCTGAGTGAGTATAACCCCCGCTAAAATAATATTATATTTTAGTCGTACGTTACGCACAGAAACAATAAATTACGAAGATTTATAAAATATATGCTTACTTCCAGCCAATATAGCGATGATCGCTGCGATCGCTATTATGAGAAAACCGCACCCCCAACAAACTATTCTTCTCCAGTATGAGCTTGTTGATCTCTTATCTTTTGTGACATAGAGTTTTTCTCCTCTGAAAGATAAAAGAATTAATTAACTTTCGGCCTAACTAATTCAATTTGGACGTCAGTCTAAAGCCATTTATACAGCTGTACAGGATCCTGAATGCCAGCCGCTAATTTGCATATTAAAAGCTTCCTCAGTCCTGTTAAACCGATTTGCACCTGAAGAACCAAGTGTGCTTTATTATTTCCTATGTGATGGTGTTAAAATTTGTTTCATGCCATCCGCATCGACAGCTTTTTTCATGATGCTTATTGATGACGATTTTTTTTACTTGGATGAGACATATACCGTGATGATTTTAACGGGGACTATTATATATATATATATATATATATATATATATATATATGTGTGTGTGTGTATATATATATATATATATATATATATATAATATAGTCGTGGCTAACTTATCTATTAAATATACAGGACTGTAATCTCGGACAGACGGGTCTAAATCTAAAAACAATGCCCCGGAAGGTAGTGAAGCGAGTTAGTGTGAATTCCTGGACCACAGGCATCTCCGCGCACCAGACCCCCCTGGGGGGGGGGGGGGTACGGTTCATTGAGCAATCACGCGAAAGCATCCCATGGCATTGCAGTACCTGAGGGCTGTCAGCCAGTGGGAATAGTCGACCAGTCCGGCAGCCGGGTCTCTCAGGCTGAGTCCCTCGCGTCCAACACCCGGACCCAAATCAAATCGGACTCCAGCCACGGTGGTTTCAACCTCTCTGTCAGGGCTTCTGCTAATTTTTTGGGTATAATGACTAGTAAAAAAATACCAATGCAGGCAAAAATGTAACTATTATGAAGAAAAAAAAGGGGGAAAAAATGGAAAAAAAGAATAAACAAACGAAGAGATAAAACGTTGGCCCCACAACGTATTCCAAGGCATGCCAGGCTGGTGTGTATTACTAGACGTGAAAAAGTTTTGAGAAAAGCAAGAGTTTTTAATGAATTCATTGTCCCGAGCAATACAAATGTAGAATTCGTGAGCAAATGAGATGGAGATAAAAACACCGTGATGGAATAAAACATTGAACTGGGCATGTTAATTGTATCGCTGTCTTCGTCATAAATTTTGCGCTATTACATTTACCTGATATATTTTCTGTGTTCGTTAACAGGCACGAAATATTCTTCGTAAGGATCGGTTGGCAATTCGCAAGCCTCTTGATTTTTAGTCTGCAAGTTGTTTGCGCCAGCATACGGTTTCATCGATACCAATTCAAGGTTCACAGCTTCAATTTGCTCCTTCTTGTCGTTAACATCTGAAAAACCATAAAGCTCGTATGTAATAAGGAGCGGCTAAATATTTCAAATTGTTAATTAAACGGTCTGAAGTTACAGTGTAACATTTACGTGCAGAAAGACGTTTTTTCTTTTCGATAATTTGAAAGTCAAATTATCAGTCAAAGTGTGCGATTAAATTCCAACACGAAACTGGCTTTCTTCTTGTTTACAGCATCATAGGTTCATGACCTTGATCCAGCGTGTAGAGATATCGGGGAAAACTTGGTTTCAAAACTATTAAGGTCGCCGTGAGCACGCGACACGTTAGTGGAGAGAAACGAATAAAGTGAAAACGAACTTTTTCTATACCCAAGCGTCGATCATCTTTAAATGTGCGCTGTGCGACTTAAAGTCTTTAAGATCCTTTAAAACGTCTGCTTAGGTTCATTTTGAAATACATAGATCAACACGTATTATTTGAAATCGAATATACAAAAAACATTCGTTGTATAGAATAAGTAATCAGTTTCTCTGTAATTTAAGAACATAATGTGCTATATTGTAAAAAAAAAAAAAAAAAAAAAAAAAAAAAAAAAAAAAGATACTCGTCAATTAGATTATTACGATTGAGATCGGAAAGAATAAAAATAATTCTCATCAAATTATTTTTAATACACGTCTATTTGATATTCGCTAATTGACGTTTATTTAGATACAATATAATTTTCACAATTTCATTCTATTCCTGTCAAATTTATCGAAATATTTGTACGTTATGCAAATTGTGCGAGTAAAAACAAATTATTGGTTATTGTTTATTTATAATTTATAATATTATAATATTTCTCTTTAGAAATTTATTCCAATGACATCGTAATCGATATGTAGGTAAAAAAAAAATATGACTTTTTTATTTGTTAAAGAAAGTGTAAACGGACCAAATTTCCGATCACAAGTGTCGTTTTATGGTTACATACATATACATAAAAAAAATTCTTTTTAATAGAACCAGTTTGAACAGTATTTTTATATTACATGATAAAACATACTTTTATATAAATTCACAATATAAAAGTAAAAAATGCATAAAATGAAACTACCTACATCTAAGTACATTTTACCATTTTTCATAAAATAATGCCAACAAAATAGCTTCGAATATAAAATAATAAAATGCATTTGAAGATAATTTAATCAACGTTCTTTTACACAGGATAAAACACAAATTGACTTACATAATTCGTCGCGATGAATAAACAAAACGTTCGTGTTCTTGTATCGTCAATTTTCTATATTCATAAAAAATAATTTGTTCAACAATTTATATGGAAAAAAAAAATTACTTCCTACACGCAACGCCATAAAATCGACGTTTAACCTTGACAGCTTTAAGGAATCATTGAATTTTCATAAATAATTTTACAATAGATCATAAAACTGTGCCTCGATTCTTCCACGATCAAACTTATTGGATATATTGAAAATTATATGAAATACACCATCGACACCTGATTAGCCAATAAATTAAAAATATAACACAAAGAGAGAACATTATTGAAAATGTGATGGATAATGTATTTTCGTTGTTGGGAGGCAGGGCCGGCATACTCAATGAATAAAATATGCCCAAAGAACATTTTATACAAATATCGAGCATTCATTGTTATAGATTCAAAAACTGATATAATCGTAAAATTATCGCGATACGTTTTAACGATAAAATTGCAAAACCCCAATGAATTATAATCCGAAATGTCATTCCAATAGAAATCGATAAAAATAAAAGAAGAACATCGCATTTCTCTTTTAATGCATACATAACGCATCTAGGAATCACGAGATTGTATATATATATATATATATGTATACAATATTTATAATTTTCATGTAATGTTTATAATGGCAGGCCATTACGAATCGGCTTAAAAACAAATAATATATATCCACGTGAAAATCCGTAGGCAGGAAATTAGTGTAAGCCATCGTCAAAGTACTGATTAAATCTCAAATCGATCAATTAAATTTATCAATCATAAAACGTATGGCAATGTAAAACAATAAAAACACAACAATGTTACCGCCGCTCGAAAAGTACTTATCAACATCAATGAGAATATCGTATTACGAGCGGTGTTCTGACGAATATGTTGCCAAAGTGCTTGCCCAATGCTTAATCGGAGTGAATGAGTTAAGTTTGAGGGGTAATGACCATTAGCCGGGACCTCCCTACCAACAGCCGGTCTTACCATTATTACCAACGCTCGTGATGGTCGAATTGAGAAAGCTGACGTCGTTATTATTGCCGTTGCCATTGAGGCCATTGAGTTTGGGCTTTGGTGTGCCATTGATGGTCGCGAGCGGTTTCTCCGGGACAGCATCATCGGGCACCTCGACCCTCGTCTCGCCAACGGGGTGCGTCGGCACGGGGCTCGTCCTCGCGGCCTCTATATAGTGCTGGGACACGAAGCCGGACTTGTCCTTGTCAGGGCTCGGCATTTCGGTTGCGCCTTCGTCGCCCTTCAATGGCGCCTCCTCGTCGTGGCTGAAAGCCGGGTTGTCGGTGCCGCCCTCCCCGTCGCCCGACATCCTGCACGCGCTGCCTGCTCCACCAAGTCTATCACCACGACTCCAGCCGCGCCAACTCTCTCGCTCGGCCAGTCATGCGGTACGAAATCTGCAAATGGAGAAAGACCGACTCAGTCCTTGCGCACGTGAGCTGCAAGCCCTTTAATAATAATGACATGCATTTTGACGCTCGTTTTGACGCCTAAGCTATTCGTCCCTCCCCGCCTAAGCTTAAACACCCCCCCCCCCCCGACCGCCCGCCCGCCAAACCCGCCAACCCGGCGCTTATATGGAACCGCTGCCGCTTCAGCCAACCCGGAAATTACCCGCCTGCGACTGCGTGACTTTCTTCTAGATAACGAAAACCGTTCCAATGGCTAACGTCCTTTCGACACGAAGGGCATATCGGCCACTTTATTAATGTACTTGAAGCGCCGAGTAGAATGCGAAACATATCATTAAGGCTGAGCTACCTGTCGATAAAAAGTCCGTAACTTCGGCATTGAAAATCACCGGATCACGAGAGCTAAAAGTCTTAAACCCTTGGCATGCATATTATATAGTATAGTTTCAGTGACTGCTCGCTAGGGGCTGGGAAATACGCGGGGGAGCGAGAGAGAGAGAGAGAGAGAGAGAGAGAGAGAGAGAGAGAAGGAGAGAAAGATTAAAAAAAAAAAGATTTGATGGTTAAGAGGTCTGTGACGTCATGGCAGAAGAAGTTTAAGCGTGCAGATCCTTACTCAGGTTCTCAGAGTCCCCGAGCTCCCTTCTCACTTTCGATCTCTCTCCCTCCCTCTCGCGCACGCACGCACACGCGCACGCACGCACGCACGTGTATGGTTACGTGCAAGCAGTCTCTCTCGCGGGCAGGCACACACACCGCTGGGGCGTACGGGAGTAGTGGACGGTGCTCGGCTCGGACGACGGTGTTCTGTACGCTGCTATCCGCGCGTTTCTTTTTGTCTTTTAAAAGCCTACTCCTTTCTCTCCTCCTCCTCCCTCCCCTTCGGCTGCCTCGCGTTCTTGGTTTCTCTCGAATATTTTACTTCCCTCCCCATCCCGTTCTCTCTCACTCACTCGCTCACTCACTCACTCTCTTGCTCATTCTTGCCTCCACGCGCAATTCGTTCCTTAGCAGCGAGCGCGAGGCCCTTCGTCCGGCGTCTCTCTGTTTCTTCCTCCTTCTTGTCTCGCTTTGTTCGCCTTTTTGTGCCCCGCGCGAGCGAGCCAGAGGTGGAGATGGAAGAAGCGAACCCCGGGGATCCTCGCAAGCGAGTCGGAGCCATCTCGCACGGTTGTGAAAGATGCCTAACTCCAGGGCTGCGGTGGCCTATACACACATGCATACTTAGATAGAGAGAGAGAGAGAGAGAGAGAGAGAGAGAGAGAGAGAGATTTGCCAGCGCGAGTAAACACGTACATGCTACTTACACAGTTGCATACGAGTGCGTGTACTGGTGTGTGCACTGCCGCCGGTGGTCTTACTTTCAGTATTATATGCCTCTATGCGCGCCCCGACTTATTTCACCGAGAGGGGAAAAAGAGCAATGAGAATTACCATTTCTATATTGCGGCGCTCGGGATGCGCTCGTCATTTAGTTAAGATCCCCGTGTAGAGATGATAAATAGGTTTGCATGTTGGTGCAATGAGCCAAGCGAGGGTCGGCAAATGTTATCGGAAAGTCCGGCAAATTGTTGCGGACGGACGATTCGAGAACCGGAAATGTGCGTTAGCAATGAGCGGATTCTAATGGCTCGGATTTTTTTCAACTTGTCGTTCGTGAAAACGGAGAAAAGGAAATTTTCACTCCCTCCATTATCATATAGTGCATTTTAAAACCAAAGTGTGTAGTATGATAATACTCGGCCTTTTGTTCGATTATAACAATCTCCTTTATATATTATCAGGCATTTCTAATCGAATCTTACATTTAACAACCTCGTAGGTGCAAACTTATCCAATGCGGATCGTGAAATCGTAACACCGAAGATAAGAAAGTAACACGTTTATTATTTCGAGCAGTAAAAATCCTTACAAAGATTTGTAGTACTCAAAAGTATTGCCCTCGCCCCCCCCCCTCCCCCCAGTTACACTCAAGATCTCGAGTTACGATTGTCCGTTCGGGCGTAACGTGTTCGGGGATTGTCCGGCAATGAAGTCGTTCACCATCGATATTTCTACGGAAAATGTGCGTGGAGGACACCATGAACTCGCGAAGAACACGTATTACGAAAGTCGAGTTGTCGGTGCGCAACATAACTCAGAGGGTGAAGGCAGTCACCTCGGACTCCTGTTGATGTACGGTAGATCATTTCGGACATTCATACTTACTCCCACCCATATGCGTACGTACGTGCGTGCGTGCGTGAGTGTGTCGGTGGAGCTCCGAGAAGCTATAAAAATCTCGATTTCTTCGGCAGTCAAGGCCCATGGGCTCGCTAAATTTGACGACTCTCGAGAGGGCGGCCCGTCAAAAAAAAAAAAAAAAAACAAACAAACAAAACAAAACAAAACAAAAAAAACAAAAAAAAGGGGATAAAAAAAAAAGTCGAGCGTTGCCGTCGCCGTCGTCGTCGCCGTCGCCGCTGCCGCTGCCGCCACCGCCACCGCCACCGCCGTCGCGGTACTCCGTAGATCCTGGAACGACCTGTACGATGTACGCACGCACGCACACATGGGCACGGCGAATCTGATGTATGCACGTAAGAGGGCGGGAGGAGGGCCGTCGCCTCGCACCCAGGGGGCAAACGAGCGGCAGCCGGTCTCGGGCGATATGAAGCCAAGAGAAACCGAGCGCCTGTGTTGGCGTGTAAACACGGCGGAGCGCACTTATACGAAACGAAAAGTGGTTGACCCTGAGCCGAGCCGTGCCTGCCACAAAGGACTGAGTCACCGGTCGCCCGCTCCAGCGAAGGGTGCCCTCTCCATCCCTCCGCACACCCTCCTGCCCGCCCGGCCGACTGGCCCCTCTCCCGCAACTTCACGGAGCCAACGAAAAGCGAAGTCGGCGTCGAGGATGCGATGAGAGGATGGACCGTGGCCCGGGTGCGACGTCCACAGGCCACTCGAAGCCACTCCGAGCTGGGAAAAGGAACGCGACGGGTATTTAAATCGAGGTTGGCCTTGAATCAACACCAGCACGGCACTTACCCGGGGATACTTGCGTTTTCTCGCTACCGTTACGCTTTTATCTAGCGGAAGGCGGTGACGCGTTACGATGTTCGCGAGTTCCCACGGCCCATGTAACCACGAGTACGCCCATCCCGGTGGATTGTGGAAGGGCGCCGTGCGCATCGAGGTCGATGATACGGGCATTTATGTAGCATCCAGTGTCCTGCGGACACCTGCGACTCCTCTCGATGCTCTTATTCGAGTTATCAAGTTTGTGCAATCGAGTCGTTCGACCTTACGTAGGATTACGTCACAGTTGCGAGTTGCGCTCGCTTTCTGCCGCTATTAATTAGCTTGGGAAATTAACGGGGCGAGTTTGTCAATCGCATTGTCTGCGAGAAAGTAATTGGCGCGTCATTATGAGATCGCGGGATGCACGATAAGTGACGTTTCCGTAACAGTGCGAAACTGTAAGCGCACGCGTATTTCTAATTAAGGAAGCCTTTCTGTTTAACATGTACCGTTCGAATTCTCTGCTCAAGCACAGTTTCAAAGCAACGCGGTAAGACGTTGGGTTGACAAAGCTACATTGCACAATTTCTTTCACTGTCCGGTTTATCTCCCACCCCCTCCCAAACCCCTCTCCGTCACACACACACGCGCGCACGCACACACGCACGCACGCACACACACACTCTCTCTCTCTCTCTCTCTCTCTGCCCCCCCCCCTCCACCTCTCTATCACTCTATTTTCGTTATAATAATGTACTTTCTTTCTCATTTCTCATTTCTTATTCATTTCTCATCGTGACTAATGACAATCCTACAATCGTATAATTATATGATTTAAGATGTGTCAAAATAATTATTTTTCCGTTTTTTTGTTCCACTTGAAAAGAAGAGTGTTTGGGCCGAAAGGTTACGCGCTGTGGATCCATTATATATAGCCATAGCCGCGAGCATTCTCCTTTCACTTAATAAAGAAATGCAGAGGGATATTATATTTAGAGAAATTTTAATTGTACGATAATTGTGAATTTATTCGCTTTCGTTAAACAATTGTTTTTACAAAATTATTAAAAATTCGAGGTCCACCGAACGGAAATTAAATTTTCAATAATGCTCATTCTCCTCCATTGCAATTAAGAATACTTGATTTACGCCAAGGTGAAACAGAAAAACAGAAACGAAAACGATAAATGTATTTTCACAATAAGTGAATCTATATTTATATTTATTGTAATCCGATAAAGGACTTTGGAATGACGAGGTATTTAATACCTCTAATACCTCGGATATTCATTTCATCGCATATGCATTTAAATTAAATGGGAAAAACTTTTTATCATAAAGCTTAAACGATCCACAATTTATATTTATTACGACTTTATGAAAGAGTTGGATAAATATTGATAATACGTAATGACGATTGCTGTGGAAAGATTTTTAACGTTTTTTTTTTTTTTTTTTTTTTTTTTTTTTTTTTTTTTTTTTTTTTTTTTTTTTAATAAAAATTATAGAAAATTGACGTATAAGCTTGGATAGAGATTTCTAAGAATAATTAAATACAACTTTCGAGGAGGTGCCAATGATTACCGAATGTAATTATCCATTAATTGAAATGATAAATTGTTAAATATATATATATATATATATATATATATATATATATATTATTGTTAAGAAAAGAAAGTTGAATTTTTGTAGGAACTTTAATCTTCACTCGAGCTTAATGAGACCATGTCCATAAATTGTACGGTGATAAATTGAAAAGTGAAAAATGAAATTTGAAATTTCATAGAGAAATAAATTTGATAATTCAAGCATATGTAAATAGTATTAGACACTACTGTAATCTCGAGATATTTTTCTGCTAACAAAATTATTTTAGAGGAAAATCGTAAATCTCATTAAATTCAATGAACTAATTTTTCAGTGATGCATTTACTTTAATAAATGAAATATTGCGAGATGTTGTTAGTGAATTAGAAAGTATG